ACCAGCGCCACCGTCATCACCATCAGCACCACCCTCGCCCTCCTTGGCCATCTCTCGCAAGTAAGCCTTCCGAGCTCGGACGAAGGCGCCAAGTATCTCCTGGCAGGTAGTAGTCTTGATGATATCGTCGGCCCAAGTTTCGGCTGGCCTTCCCTTGGCAATGGTCTGCTTGATGGAAACCTCGTGGGCAATGTTCACCCAGAAGCCCTGTGTGAATCCTCTCTGCTTAGGCACCTCCCTGAAGAGGGTCTTGTCGGTGAACTGGTACTTGAATCGCTCGCACTCGTTCAGAATCATGCGCATGAAGTCGGCGATGCGGCCACCTTCACCTTGGAAGTTGGTGAGCTTGCCCTCGAGCTCGAGGTAGCGGCAGACATCGGTGGCGGCCTCCTTGCTCATGAAGTCGAGGGGCGAGAAGGAGAAGCCAGTTTTGAAGACGATGTGAACGATGGTCGGAAGACGGTTGGTCGCGATGAGGAGCTTGTCCCCGGCGGTGAGCATCGAGGATGGGACGTCGTACCAGTCCGTTCCGCTGCCCGGTCTCGGGCCAGTGCTGGGTCCTGAGACTGTAATGTTCCCAGCGTGGTCAGTCCCATGCCTTTATTTTTTGTTGGCACCGGACAGGGAAGGGGGCTGTTACTTACTTGCATTTCTGCGCAGGTGACGGAAGCTCTCCTTCTTCTCGCGGCGGCTGATGTAGACTGCGTTGTTTGGCTTCGTGGTCTTGCGGTAATATTTGAAGCTGTTGAACTTTGCGAACTGACGATCCATGGCGTGGCCAGTTGGGATGGGAGAGTTTGTCTGGACAGCCGCGTTGGTGGCTTCGATCTTGTCGACTTCCATCTTTCCGGTAGAAGCCATGATGTATTGCGATACCTGCGAGTCTGATGAAGCTGGAAGCAATAGGGTCGAGATCGATGATTGTTCGTTGTGATTGTCTGACTCGGCAGTCTTCGAGTCTTGAGTACCGACTGCTGTGTGGTGTGACGGGAGAAAGGAATTTTTTCAAGAAGGTTCTGCAGGTTATTTCAACAAAGAAGGAGCTCAAAGATCTTAACCCTTCCCGTGGGACTGTTCAAGCACAAAGTCCATCATTCCTCGGGCCGTGGATGAATGGACTGATTGTCGAGGGTCCCGCAAGGCAACATCGAAGTGGTTGCTCTGGAGAGGGGTCAGGGTAGGCGTGCTCGCTGCACGGTCCGAGAGTAACATTCGGCAGTAGGTTCAGACGACAGTTGTCCATGAAAGGTTGGTGATGATTTGGAAGACTTGCCGAGTGCGATGCTTTACAGTGTTGAGTTTTCACTTTGGCTTGGCGCAATGAAGGACAAAGATAGCTGAAGGTTCTCGAAAGTTGCGCCCACTTTCGGCAGATTATCCCTCAGCGTCGAAGAACCCCTGGGGGAGGAGTCCCAGACTTCAGGGGCTGGGGAAAAACCTTCATGGAGTTCATCGATCAAGGCTTAGCGTTGTGCGGGCCGCCGCCCTGAAGCTTCGCCATCGATCCCCGAAGCCGCCGGCCTTCACTATGGCAGTCTGCCGTTCGAGATCAGGCAACATTGAGTTACGCTAGAGTAAGAGAGCCCCATGGTCGGACCAGACGGATGGACAGAGGTGACCCAAGTGGAAGGAGACCTATCCGGGAAGGCTTTCGAGTTGTGATGAATGCCGGCCATTCTTGAAGATGAAGACAGATTTAATGAAACCAAGCCAATATGCCTTGCAGAAGTCTTCTTGGCAGTCTCTTTGATTGAAGCTGAAACTCGCGGGCATAGCAGGCCTAGACTAGAGAGCACGGTGCCGTTGTGCTAGCACTTTTAGGGCATACAAATCGTACCCAGAAAACGTTTTCATCCGCGAGACTTACAAAGGGGGCTTTTTATGGTAAAGGTTCAGCTACGATTGCAATCCAGAGCAGAAAATTTTGATGGCGAGGGAGAGTAAACAAACAGAAACATGAGATCCATCTTTCTTCGCCGATTTCAAGTCCCTTTAAAAGCGTTTTACTACAATTCATGGTTCATTGCCGAGATAAGTGACATCCTTTACTGCGTCTAGGGCGCTAGATGTAGAGACTCGGCTCACGTGGGAGGTAAGTGAACCACCTAACCGGCCTATGAGGCTTCGGTTTCGAGTATCTTGATTCCGATATAGGCTGCATTACATATTTACGAGTCCCTGACTTGTTGCTCAAGGTAGCGGCACTTGGGTTCCATAGGCATTGTTCGTGTTTTGCTAGAAGATAGGTAGACAGAGGTCTGTCAGACTATCAGGACCGTCAAATACCAGTCTTGGACGGCGTTTAGTGACTGTGGTGCTTACCTATCCTAGGTACTCCTTGCCCCCAAAGTCAAGGGACTGGCCTAAGTATGTGGGCAACACTGATCCATGGCGCAGCCCTCGGACTGCCAGGCTGTCCAAATAAAGGTAAATTTACCGACGTACAGACTTGAAGCTTTATTGTACCTAGGTAACTAGTATTGACGCGGAAAGTGGGAAAGCGACCCGTAACAGTCTTGCCGATTCACGAGAATTACCTCGGGCATCATCTCAATTTCCCCTCCTCTGGCAATACAGATATTCGGTTTACCTTTTTCTGTCATCGGAGGATTTATTGTCTGATGAATTTCGAGCTGTTTTCCGGTTATTGAAAATAACTTTTGCTTCTTCATTTCGCCCCGCGTTGTTTACTGACTGAGGTGCTACAAGCACGTTCACGGAGTACATCAAAGTCGACCTGGGCACAGATCTTCCGCAACGCCTAAGGGGGATCGCTAGTTCAACTGTCTCTGATTGTCTACCCATGGAATAAGAGTAAGTTTCTGTATACATTAAGATTTTCGGAACGCAACCCAAGCAAAACTACCCGGTCTCCGACGAGGAGCAAGAAATAGAATGAGACCGAATAGTGAGGAGCAAAAGCAAGGTCAGCAAGCACCAGTGCGAGCCGTGCCGTAGTTTAGCAACAGTCCAGGATTCAAGACTTGGCCGCATCTGGTTCGTGCGGTTTGCCTAGTAGAATGAACCGTGGTCATCTGCCACTCCTCGCAGCGATAAGAGCGCCTGTTTGTCATTTATCAGATTTCGTACACGAAACATCCTAGGATTGGAGTCGAAACTCTCGCCATTTCCTTCCTAGTTGTGCCATTTCTATCCGTAGACTCTAATGAACACGAAGGCGCCAGCGGTGTGGCTGGTTCTGCGCCCGTGAGAAACCTCAATTGGCATTTTCAAATCCCGATGCCCGTCTCTCAGCCTACGCCATACCTTTGGGGAAGATAATTTATTCACAAGAGTCAATGCCGTCAGGTCGGCCATTCGAGTGGTGGCACGACCCGTCGAGTGCGCACTGATGATGGCATTTGCTTCTCCGACGGCAACTGAACTTCTTCCTAGGCCCGGACTTGATGGAATTAGGGTGGGGCAATAACTCCGGGTAGGGCAGTCAAACGGATGTTAACAGCATTTCCCCTGCCGTCTGGGAGCGTGGATGGCGCGAGAAGAGCTTGAACAGCTTCGGCAAAACGGGCACGGCTCGAATTCGGGCTGGTATTTGTCTGCGGGCGACCGACACGCGTCAGCAGGTTAGCCTAGGTGTATTTACCTCGACTGGAATGCCCAGGTAATTCGTTCGTGGCTTTTGAAGAAAAACTACATCATAACAAGCCTCAAGTTGGACGGAGGTAGGCATACAGCGAGCGAACTTTAGAGCGAAGCCCTTATGCCAGTAGAGACACTTGCCCGTGGCAGTCTGAAAAACGTTGAGTGACTTACCGTCGACGACATTACGTTCACTCATGAGAAATTGGGGCAATGTCTGATCAACAAAGAAATAACCTCGGATCGTAGCGCGTGTGATAGGTTGCGTAGCGTGTGACGGGACGTCGTTGGGGCGTCCAAGTATCGGCCCGCGGCGGCCCGCACTGTCAAGCACCGACGGCGTCTTCACCTCACCTCGGTGAGTCCGGCACACCGAAGCATGGACACCTCACCCATCAGCCCCACCGAGAGCTCTTTTCGAGCGTCATCTCCCATCGATGAACCCGGCCAAAGCTCGTCGCGTCAGTAAGCAATACTCTTTCTGCTCTTGGCCACGCGAAGTTTGCAATTGCCCCGACAATATTTACCCAAGACTTTTTCTATCCAACGGACTTGAGCCTGCAAAGGTTACCGCCCGTCTCAACAACAAAATGTTTGCAAGCCGCGCCACCACGAGGTCGCGGCTAGCTCTCCGCACAACTCGACCACCAACAACGAAACCATCCTTGCGTCATACCTCGACGAACTCTTCCTCTTCTTCCTCTCGAGCGGCAGACCGCATCCTCGATCGCGTCCCCCTCCGCTTCCAGAAATACACCACCGGCCTCCGCAAAGCGCCCGTCTCGCACGTAGTCGCCTTCCTGATCCTCCACGAAATCACCGCCGTCGTGCCCCTCCTCGGCCTCTTCGGCTTCTTCCACTACACAAACTTTTTACCGCTCGAGTACGTAACGGGCCACTGGGCGGGATACGTCAGGGATGGTGTGGGTATGGCGGAGAGGTATTTTAGTAGGAAGGGGTGGTTTGGGTTCGAGGCCCAGGACCGCGGAACGATGACGGGGCAGTTGGAGGGGGACGGTGAGGTTGAGAGCACGCAGGATGTGCTGGAGAAGTGGCAGAGGGATGGCAAGTACAAGGTTGTGGTGGAGGTTGCTATGGCTTGGGCTATTACGAAGGCGCTGCTGCCAGCGAGGATCCTCGTCAGCGTGTGGGGGACGCCGTGGTTTGCGGGTGTCATGGGCAGGGCACGTGGATTGTTCAGATCCAGTCGGTAGTCACGGTTGAAGGTCTCAAAAATCACATTACACTCCTGGTAGCATATGGGCTCTTTGTTTGTGCTTTTTGATTGACCTATAACTTTTCTTTATCAACCTAACATGGCGACATGCATCCCACCCGTGCGGCAAGCGTACGGTGGACGTCTACGGCTCGTGTATAGTGGCGGAGTAGAGAAAAAGCATTTAAGGCTTCTCGTAGATCCAGTCGAACTGGGAAGCCTTGTAGGAGACGACATCGCCATCCTTGAACCAGAGGGCAATCTCCTTCTTGGCATTCTCGACGGAGTCGGAGCCGTGGCAGACGTTGCGGCCGACGTCGATGGCGTAGTCGCCACGGATGGTGCCGGGGGCGGAGGCAAGGGGGTTGGTGGCACCGAGAAGGACTGTGAGGTGTATATTAGCATGAGGTTATTCGACTGAAGGGGTGTGTGTAGAGGATTGGTGAGGGACTTACCACGACCGGTCTTGACGGCGTCACGGCCCTCCCAGACCATGGCGCAGATGGGGCCAGAGTTCATGTCTGCGAGGATGTCAGCTTGGAATCACGGTGGGCGAGGCATTGGGGATGGAACATACACTCAATGAGACCAGCGAAGAAGGGCTTGTCCTTGAGGTCGGCGTCTATTTGGAAGAGTTAGTTCTGCTTTGCGAGGGATGCGAGAGGAAGTAACGAACAGTGGGCCTGGAGGTGCTCCTTGCCGGGGGTCATGAGCTTGATGGCGACGAGCTTGAAGCTGAAGGAGACATGTTAGAGATGACAAACTTGCCCAGAGTAGGTAGGGCATCATCTGGAATAAAACTTACCCACGGGTCTCGAAGCGAGAGACGATGGGGCCGATCAGGCCGCGCTGTGGGAGAGTCAGCTTGCTGTGCCTGGCAATTGGCAAGTACCAGATGAGATGGAGCGTACCTGAACGCCGTCAGGCTTGATGGCAATGAAGCTATTTCAGGGTCAGCTTTTTTTTGTTCTGTTTCGTGGTGGTGATGTGTGCCCCTCTGCTGCTCGAAACCTCCCACGATGGCGGGGTAATTTCAGGGTAGTGACAGGAGCTCAAAGAAAAGCAAGTAGCATTGGAGTGCATTGCTAGCTTTATGGGCAGGAAGTTAGAAAGGGATTGAGGTGTGTACTCACGTCTGCTCGGTAGACATTTTGGGAGAGGTATCAACGACGACTTTGGGAGTTGAAGATGGTTGATGTTCTTGGTAGATTGTGGTGGTGACAACGGAAGGGGCGACGGGAGGAGAAGAAAGGTCTGCTGCTGACCGCTGGTTTTGTTGGCTCGAGGAAAAAATTATGTACAAACCGAAGAGGAGAGCGAGAATTATGAAAGTTGGTGGGGGCAGCTTCTCTGCTGTCCTGCGGGCGTACTCGGGGAAGCTTGCATTTGCATTATTCTGCTGCGGCTTCTTGTGCTTCGAGGCGGGGTCGTTGTCCTGCGCGCCGCCGCTGTGGTGGTGGGGTCCCGAGTCTGCCATTGGATGAAAGCAAGTACTATGTACCTAAGGTGCTTAGGTAGAAACGTGGTGAAAAGGTGTGGAGATTGCTGTACCGAGCTTCTGATACGGCAGTTTTGGAACTGTGAAGCCAGACCGCCTAGTTTCTATTTTGACAGCTCAGCACTCATGGCAACCAAAAGGTGGAGGTTCACCGTGATTCTAAAGAGAGGGTGAGGTGGGTGAGGTGTGAAATGGCATTGAACCAAGGGGAAGGTTCCTTACCTATAGCACTTGAAATACAAAACGCCAAGCTCAAGTTTCTTTTCTTTGGATCGTCACATGCAATTGACCTTGCATTTCGCTCAAGAGAAGCTCAAAAGTCGTGCAGTTTTGGGTTGATACATAAGTAAATAATCATGGTGCGTGTTGATTGAGATCCTGATTGTCAGGTACGAATCAGGTACCCATCTTCCGGCTTACCGCATCTCGGATAATCTCTTAAGTGGCACAGCGGGACCCATGTGATTTAATCGGTTATCCAGGATAAGGCACCTCTATGTCTTTTGTGGGCCCTGCTCATAGTCCCACCATTTCAATCTGTCACTGCCACTTCACTTGACATCAAAAGAGACTTGACAGAAAGCTGATTTCCTGCTCACGCGTATCGTCGTTCTCGACATGACTAGTGACATTACCAGTGAAGACAAAGTTCTCCTTGAACTCATTATACAAAGGCCAGTTTGTACCGTTGACTATGAAGCTCAGCGTCAGCAGCCATGCTGTTGAGGCCTGCGGTAGACCACACTTACCTGATCCGTTGCTATTCGGGTCACCAGTTGCCACAAAACTAGCCCACGCCGTTGCCATTATGGAGGCTAGTTCGGAGAAAGACTGAGGCTTGTCTTGCAGAGGCCATACGTCGTAGTCGTCTCTGCTTTGGTCGTCGAAGACGAAGAAGATCTCTTTCGCATGCGTTGCGCCAATGTAGTGAGGCAATCCGCTGACGATGACATCCCATCGATACTTGTAAAGACTGAATGCCAATTGGTTGATAAGTCAGCAACTTTTATAGTATCAGTGCGGGTATACGTACGGCACGTTGTACGCCGCCCACATCTGAGCCGTGTAACGAGTGGGCGCGATGATGTTAGAGTCACCAGCGAGCGTAACAGCTCTCTTATATTGGTAACCGAGTTCAGCACCAAGATCGTCCGGGTATGTGGCTAGAGCATGGTTCGTTGCGTTTTGGCGGTATATGTCGAACACTCTACTTGCAACCGTCTCGTTGGCCTTGAGCGAAGCAATGTACTCCCTAAACTGCTCATCCGTGTCGATCTTGGACGTTGGATAGAACGTGGCATTGTCAAAGTTGTTCCCTGGGATAAAGGCAGATCCTTCGTCTGTGTTGTGGCCGATTATGTATGGAACCTTGACGAAGTTGCCCTTGGCCAGCTGCGCTCCTGGGGCATCGGCAACAAAGTCGCCATCAAAGACTTGGACTTCTTAACCCAGACTCGATAACAATCAAACATGTGACTACTCACCTAGTCCATAGGAAGCCCCTGAAGTGGCTGTAGAATTGACTACGGCATTCAAAACCTCGATTGGGACGTTCCGCAGACAATTGAGTGCATCTGTCGTGCTGCAGCCTGTGCCGACTGTGATGTTCTCATAGACTTCGTCCCAGTTTGCGACGTCGAGAACTGTAGCGGATCACTTCATCAGTCAGAGAGTCGTAGCCTGGCAGATTGTGACTTACATGGGGAGAATGGCGAGAAACCAGCAGGGGCTCCCGACTGAGAAATGGCACCTCTGAACAGTCCGTCATCGCGTCCATTGTACGCCAGAAGTTGGGCACCGACAGAACCTGCACCCCTAGAGACAAAACTTCATCAGCTTGGTTTCCATGGTTTCATTGAGGGCTCTCGGAAAGTCTATAGAACATACGCGCTGTTCCCGAATATGGTTACTTTGGTAGGATCTCCTCCAAAGGCGGCGATGTTTTCTACGGACGAGTTAGCTGAAAACGTCCCATCAAGCACTTCAACAGCTACGACTTCCCTTGTACCCAGTTTAGTGCCAATCTTTGATCCCTAAAGCCAAGGTTCGCAGCTCCAGCAGCCACGATATCAGAACCTCCTAGAAAGCCGAAGGCGGAAAGGCGATAGTTGAAACTAACGCCAATGATGGGCTTCCCAGCTGCAACAGAGTCCCGAATGATGGACGAGAAGTTCAACCGGGGATCGGCGCTGCCACCTTGGAAGTAGCCTCCACCGTAGATGTACACGGCAACTGGCAGCGACTGGTCTGTATAGTTGGAAGGACGAACGACGTTGATGCTCAGACAGTCCTCAGAGATCTTGAAGCCAAGTGCCGCGAGCCTGTTGTTGTCATTCTATGGCAAGGTTAGCAAGCCCATCCTGTACATGTGGTTGTTTCAGCGATGAGTATGGTGATTCGGCCGCGTAAACGTACACCATAGCCATAGCAAATGTTGCCGAATTGAGTAGCGTCTCTCGATCCAGTCCAGGAGGTGTTCAGTGAAGCTGGTGGTGAGAATCGAAGGGGACCTTGAACAGGCGGCTGGGCGAACGGCATGCCTAGGAAGTAGTCTTGGTTGAGTAAAGGCAGATGGACGCCTGTATAAGAGCCATTTCTAGTTTGGACTTGTGGTGCCTTTTGACAGAGGCCACCAGACAGCCCGGCGAGTAACAGAAGCAGTACGCGCGCCATGTTCACGTCCGGATGCATGATTCTAACTATAATCAAGTACGATTTCCACGGAGTTTTGCGTCTATTATATTGCTGTCATTCGTGCATCGTGGGCAGACGATCACATTTCATCGTAATCGCTGTCCTGAAAATCGTCACAGTTCTTGACTCGCAACCCTGTCTTGATGACTGTTTCTTGGTCATTTCCGTATCGCTTAGAGCAAGAACTACTGGATCTCCTTCTCAATCGAGCAACTTGCAGGCTACTTTGATGCTTTCGAATGATAGCTCATCAAATTGATCAACCAAGCCTTTCCGAGACGTCCGCTTTGTGCCGCCATATCCGGCAATTATGTCCGGCAATTGTTCGTGGAATCGCATCAGACGTTCTTGCGATGGTGATGCGGATCATGAGATGGTGATCAACCGAGCCAATCCGGCTCTGCTGGATCCACCCATTCCACAATCACCGCGTGGGCCAGCATGAACCAGATCTCGAAGAACGAGCATGTGTAGTAGTGAGGACATAACATGATATCATCCCTAAAGAAGCTCACGATCTCAGACAAAATCAGGAAGGCGCTCATAGACGTTTCGCCCTCAAGCGTGCCTGACCATATCATCCATCGCAGGGGTATGACATTGCCCAAAAGCATCGTGTAGGCGCATATCTCGCAGGTTTATAGATAGAAGGCACCATCAGCCTTTCCTCATAGAAAGTGGCCGGGACCCTACGAACATTGCCATCCGTATGTGGTCTGGAAGTTGTCTACTCCAATGGCGGGGTAAATATTCGGTCAGTAAGGTCTATGTACCTATCCGTTTTCCAATATCCGATTAAACATGTCTTCTTCGATAGGCCCCTGTCTCCCGCAGCAAGCGACTCGAGCTAAGCCCAAAGTGGAGCTAGTCAAGGGGACAGCTGTTGAACTCAAGCGGCGTCTCACCTTCACAAGTACCTTCCACCCAAACGTCACCAATTCCTCCCACCCAACCCGATTCAAAGTGTACCAAAACCAACCACAAACGCGCGACGCGAGAGCACTACAAAGAAGAACCGCCTTCTTTTTGCTCTCATCCCCATGTTCGCTTCTTGATTCCAGAGTTTCTTGCAGCAGTTCGTTCAATCCTTTCGGACAAACACACAATCACCACACCCCTCCGCCATGGGGACCATCGGCAAGTCGTCCTACAAATGGACGACCTTCTTTGGTCTACTGGCGGCACTTAGCTGCATGATCCAGCCCGCAGGTAAGGACTCCCGTGACGCAATGACCTTTCTTTTACCTTACTTGTGTTGAATTCACGCTGCTTGGTTCCCCCAACTGCTTGACTTAGTGATACTGACAAGACAATCGCAGTCATGGTTAAGGAAAATGACTTCAAGAAGTGCCACCAATCTGGCTTCTGCAAGCGCAATCGCGAGTATGCCGATAACGCTGTCTCCCAGTCCTCGACCTGGGCCGCTCCCTACAATATCCTCCCCGACTCTGCCTCACTCAAAGACGGCCAACTCCAGGCTGTAATCCTCAAGACCATCAACGATGCCCAGGAAACCGTCCGCCTCCCCATCACCGTTTCCTTCCTCGAATCCGGCACCGCTCGTGTGACCGTTGACGAAGAGAAGCGCCAAAAGGGAGAAATCGAGCTGCGAAACAACAGCCCTGCCCGCAAGGAGCGCTACAACGAAGCCGAAAAGCACGTCATTGTTGGTGGCTTGAACCTCGACAAGGAGGCCAAGGTCGCCTACCAGGATAAGGACCAGATCACCATTCAGTACGGCCCCTCTTCCAAGTTCGAGGCTGTCATCAAGTTCTCGCCCTTCAGTGTCGACTTCAAGCGTGATGGATCTTCCCACATCAAGCTCAACGATCGCGGTCTGCTCAATATGGAGCACTGGCGCCCCAAGGTCGACAAACCCGCCGAGGAAAAGAAAGAGGGCGAAGAGAACGCTGAGAAGGCCGAATCCACCGAAGTCAAGCAGGAGGACGAGAGCACCTGGTGGGACGAGACGTTTGGCGGCAACACCGACTCCAAGCCCCGTGGTCCCGAGAGTGTCGCCCTCGACATCTCATTCGTCGGATACGAGCACGTTTTCGGTATCCCTGAGCACGCTGGTCCTCTGTCTCTGAAGGAGACCCGTGGCGGCGATGGCAAGTACTCCGAGCCCTACAGACTTTACAACTCCGACGTCTTCGAGTACGTCCTCGACAGCCCCATGACTCTCTACGGAGCGATTCCTCTCATGCAGGCGCACCGCAAAGACTCCACTGTCGGTGTCTTCTGGCTCAACGGCGCTGAGACCTGGATTGACATCACCAAGGAGA